CACCGATCAACCGCAAAACAGATAAAAGACCCAGATTGTGAGAAGCCCCACAAGGATTTTTCGACAATGAAGCCAAATAAACGAAAATAAAGAGACGAAGAAAGTGTAGAGTCATCCTAGTTCAGCAATTCTTATCAAGAACTGAGATACAACTCATACGACGTTCACGAGGAGTCATCAATTAAAGACCAAAACCGCATTGACTAACCGTGAGAGGGAAATCATAGAGACCTGGCTTACCCTTTCGTGGAGATGTAATGGAAATCCGCAAAATACAGAAAAACGGCTTAGAGTAAGGAGACCACACCGCCGACAGCTTTCAGTGAGCGGAACCAGAGAAACACATTTCATACACAAAGTCACAAACCATATCTTACTTCCCCAACATTTATTCTCTTAAAATTAAAAAATGAATTTTTGTGTATTTATTTATTTGATAGTAGCGACGTAGATTGATTTATTATTTATTATTTATTATTTATTATTTATTTTTAAGTTTGTTGAGTACAGAACTAAGAAAGCAGCGTGGGCACTGGGCAGACAAGGTCGCAACAGCTGGGGTTTTCAATTTGACAAGGACATTGCCTGAATCTGAGCTGTTGCCCTGCGAGCGTGTGTGGACATTGATTGGCCAATCAAAATTTGCCATGTCACTCACATGGTCTAACCTTACACGGCTTTGTTGTTCGATGAAAAGTGAAAACTGTTCCATAAACTTCTTTGTTTATCTCCCAGGATTAAAGAAAGGTCATGTGAGTGGAAAGATAATAATAGACACAAACACATAAAAGTTGATGGAAAAATTATTTTTACTCTTTGTGGATAAAGCTTTTTTTATGAAGTTCTATGAAATCATAGCATGTTTGCGTGCATCATAAGGGTACGTATGAAGGATTTTTTTTGGTAAACAAAGATATATTTTTCTATTAATTTCATTTTGTTTAAAAAGTAATTTAATTGTGGTTTAAACTTTAATTCTCTTCATAAAATTTACCAACTACTCAACATGTTGGCTAAAATTAAAATTATATTTCTATTTAATGAAAATTAATTAACCTTTTCATATTTTTATTTTATCAAGTAACTAATGAATTTTCTTTTCATGAGAATGGCTTGAGTTTAGAGAGAAAAAATATGGGGAAAAAAATAGGGAGACTGTCATTTGGAACACTTGTAAGAGGATTCTTGTTACTTTGACCCAATAAAACAATGACTCGTTTTGAAATTTATTGTCATGATTTATTGTGTTGATTTTTTTCGAGTGAGGATCAAAATGTTTATAATTATCTTATAAGGGACACAGATATCACTCTACAAAATATACAATAGGTTGAGGATAAACAGTGTCATATACTCTCTAGTAGCATATGTTAGTCATGAACAAAACTTTTTTTTTTGCTTACGCATGCGATATCCTAGACAAACCATCTTTTAGGTATAATAATGGCCCAAACTAATCCAGATTCGCTTATGGTCAGGCACCTCAAAAGGTGGGAGAGCTAGCCAAAGAACATTTTTCCATACCTAAGTAGAGATCGAACCCTGACACTTGGTTAAGGTCATGAACAAAACTTTAATTATAGATGTATATCAATTTTGTGAAATATTTAGTTATCTATTCTAGAAGTATTCTTATGTCACATTTCAATTTCCCACAAGTGCTTATGAGAAATGCAATAAATAGGCTGTCTTGTATCTCGAGTGTTTTCATGCAATTTTTCTTTCACTTTCTTCTCACAAAAAAAAAAAACCTAATTCTATTATGATTCTATTTATATATTGTTTTCAATGATTTTGTCAAGTATCTAGTTATTTATTTTAAAAGTATCCTTATTTTACATTCCAATGAGTTCTCTTAAGAAAGGTAATAGATGGATTGTGCCTCATATCTAAAATATTTGCATGCTTTTTTCACTTTATCTCCCAAAAAATCTCTTGTGATCCTAAAGTATGTCATTTTTTATGATTTTGTGGAGTATTTAGTTGTCTATTCTAAATGTATCCCTATACCACATTCCAATGATTGATTTTGGAAAACAAGATAAATGGATCATTTTGTATCTAGAGTGTTTCCATGTGGCTTCTCTTTCACTTTTGCTCTCACAAAATCTACTAAAATCCTATGTGTATGTTGTTTTCTATGATTTTGTAAAGTATTTAGTTGTCTATTATTAAAGTATCCCTATCCTGCATTTTAAATGGTTTGCCTCATATCTAGGGTGTTTCCATGCATTTTTTTTTCTCACTTTATTTCTCACAAAATCTATCCCCGCCCTAAACTTATGTCATTTTTTATGATTTTGTGAAATATTTAGTTATCTATTCTAGATGTACCCCTATACCACATTGCAATGAATGCTTTTAGAAAACATAATAAATGGATTGCCTCATATCTAGAATGTTTCCATATAGTTTCTCTTTCACTTTATTTTCCATAAAATCTTTTATGATCCTAAATGTATGCGGTTTTCTATAACTTTTTAGAGTATTTAGTTGTCTATTCCATAAGTACCCCAATGATATATTCCAATGGGTGCTTTTGAAAAACACAATAAATAGACTGTCTTGTACCTAGAGTGTTTTCATAAGGTTTCTCTCTCACTTTATTTTTGGCGAACTCTTTTATAATCCTAAATGTATGCATTTATTATGATTTTGAGTATTTAGGTTTCTATTATAGAAGTACCCCTATGCCACATTCCAATGAGTACTTTTGGAAAATGCAATAAATGGGTCACCTTGTATCTAAAGTGTTTTCATGTGGTCTCTTTCTCATAAAATCTCTTTTGATTTTAAATGTATGTTGTTTTATATGATTCTATGGTGTATTTAGTTGTTTATTCTAAAGATACCTCTACGCCAGATTCTAATGAGTGCTTTTGAAAAATATGATAAATTGGCCATCTAGTTTCTTGAGTGTTTCCATGCATTTTTTCTCTCACTATATTTCCTGCAAATTTTTTTATGATCCAAAGTGTGTGCTGTTTTCTATGATTTTGTGGAGTATTTAGATTTCTATTCTTTTTTTTGGGTAAAAAATTAGATTTCTATTCTAGATGTACCCTTTTGCCACATTCCAATAAGTGCTATTGAAAAATGCAATAAATGGGTTGCTTTGTAATTAAAGTGTTTTCATGTAGTGTCCTTCTTACTTTATTTCCCATAAAATCTATTCTAATCTCAAATGTATGTCATTTTCTATAATTCTGTGAAGTATTTAGTAGTATATTTTAGAAGTACTCTCATGCCACATTCTAAGGAGTACTTTTGGGAAAATACGATAAATGAGCCACCTTGTATTTTGAGTGTTTTTATTTAGTTTCTAGAGTATTTTCATGCACTTTTTCTCTCATTTTCTTCCCCACAAAACCTAATTCTATTAGGATCTTACGTATATGTTGTTTTCGACGATTTTGTTGAGTATTTAGTTGTCTATTATAAAAGTATCCATATTTTACATTTCACTGGGTTCTCTTAAGAAAGGTAATAAATGAGCCACCTTATATCCAAAGTGTTTGCATGCTTTTTTCACTTTATTTTCCAAAAAATGTGTTATGATCCTAAAGTATGTCGCTTTTTTTTTTTTTTATGACTTCACATTCCAACGAGTGCTCTTGGAGAACATAATAAATGGACATCCTCAAATCTAGAATATTTCCATGCCGTTACTCCTTCGCTTTGCTTCTGATGAAATATCTTCTGCCACATGACTCTCTCTTGCATTCTATTTAGCACATTCAATATGAAACTATTTTTCATTCATCCACCATTCATCTAGTTGTCAGATGAAATTTTCTGGTATATCGTCCATGCATGAAAAATATTTGAAGAAATGAAAGCATTAATTAAATACCTGCATTGGGTAAGTCATCAACATGTGTGGACAAAATAGAGAGATAAAATATTCTAACATTTAATAAAGGTAAAATGATAAATATGAATATAATAATCATTGAACTATTTTATAAATATGATCAAAATAAATACTACCCCTCATATAAACAGGATGGGAGGACTATTTAGTTACTCTAGAAATCTGTTTGCTCAAGTTTTCTTACAAACGATTTATTTAGAGTTGTACTTTGATACCGGGGCATTTGCAGACCCTGCAACATCACCTTGCTTTCTATCTTTCTTGTTTTGGTACTGTTGTTTTTGTTTCTTAATATTAGTTGACTGTTTATCGCAAAAAATAAAATCCTATCTATAAACATATATTTTAAACAACTATGAACTATTTATTTAATTTATAAATAAAATCATAAATTCAACGAGATTATTTTCACCAATATGCGATGAGTACAGTGCAAATGAGTAATGAGACTTGGGAGCTGGGCTGATCCATTTAGAAATTGCCTAGATGTCTTTTGGGCCCTTGGACTTGGATCCCTCCCTCATCGTTTTTCAATCAACACACTAACAGATAATTTACAACACAGACACACAGACACACACCCACAAGCTGCAACTTTAATAAATGTAGTGTAGTTGTATTGTAAAGTTTGTCAAATTACTGTAAATTTACAATAACATATATGGTAGTCTGATATTTCTTTTATTTTTTATTTTTTATATGTTGAAAGATCACATGTAATCCAGAAAAAAGAGAGAAAGAGAGACGTGTGATCCATTATAAAAGATAAGTAGTTGATAAAATAACTATATTGAAAATAAATGTAAGACCTGAAATAAAATTATAAATTTAATTTAAACAAGGTGTAAGAAGAAGTAGGTATACAACCTAGTGAATTTTTTTTTTCAGAATTTAATTTATACAAAATAAAAAATATTAAATTAAATTAGTTGTTGTTTCTATTTTTTATATGTATAAGATAATAAATTATAGAATAAAATATAAATAAAATAAAAATAATAAAGATAGACTATTTTATTGTTTAAATTTTAATTTAAGTGGAGATAATACATCATAAAATAATAAATTAATTTTTATAGTTTTAATACATGCATGGTAACAAATTTTAAAATAATTTATGTGGAAATAAAACAAGTTTGGGTATATTCTTAATATGGAATGGGCGAAACATCATTCAAGCGGTAAACACACACACACACACACACACACACACACACACGAACCTCTAAGAGGTATAACAAATAGGAACTAAATTCAGATCGTTCTTCCTTTTCACTGTGGAACCAAAAGACTCATCCATGTTCAAATCCTCAGGCTTCATACCTTGTGGAAGTTTCCAATCAAAATGGTAAAGCAAGTTAGAGAGTGACAATTCTATAACAGGTATAGCAAATGTGACTCCAGGACAGATCCTTCTTCCAGCACCAAATGGGATGTACTCAAAGCTAGAACCTTTGAAGTTGTAATCAACCATTGTATCAAGAAACCTCTTAGGTTCAAATCTCTCTGGTTTTTTCCAATACTTGGGATCTCTTCCAATGGCCCAAGCATTAATTATAATCTTTGTCTTAGGAGGTATCTCATATCCATTGATTTCACAACGCTCACTGTTCTCTCTTGGAATCAACAATACTGTTGGTGAGTGTAGCCTCAGAGTTTCTTTGATGATAGCACCTAAATATTTTAACTGGTGAAGCTTTGATTCATCTACATACCCTTGGCTTCCAAAGACTCTTCTTACCTAATGAAGAACCAATAAACAAATTCTCTTAAAAGTCAATTCAATATTTTTCCTTCAATTATCGATTTACTTCGTTGAACTTTGACACAACATGATATAATTTTTATAATTTATTGAGTTAAAAAATTATATAAATTGAATTGTGTTGGGTCAAAAAACTATAAAGACTGGTTTAATTATTTTGAGTTTAGAAAATATACATTGGAACTGAGTTGTCCTCAATCAAAATTCATTTAATAATTGATAATTGAGAAAAAGATCAATTTAAGATCAAAAGTTATATTTTTTTTCTTGTAAATTTTCAAATCAATATGAATAAATAACTAATCCAGTATCCTAACTAAGAATCATAACAAAAACTACAAAAATATTAAGAAAACAATGAAAGTTCAATTTGTGTCTATACCTCTACTTGTGCCTCCTTCATAATCTCTGGATTTTTGAGCAATTCTGACACTGCCCACTCTATGGTACCTGCTACTGTTTCAGATCCAGCAATGAAAACATCCTGAAAAAGGGATTCATAATTATTATAATAATAATTATTATTATTAGTGCACAGTGTGAGTTCATAAAATTACAATTATATATATAACACCTGCATTTATATGACAAAGTGACACATATAAAACTAACCAAGAGAACAGCTTTAATGTTGTCAGGAGATAAGGGGATCTCAAAGTCATCGCCACTTTGAATCTTGAGAAGAACATCAACAAGATCCTCCTCTATCATCTCTCCAACGTTACTATTGCCTTTCTTTTCTTCGTGGTTTCTGATGATGTCTGCTAAGATTCTATCAGTGTCTCTCTGCACCTTCATAGCTTGAGCTCTCATCCCAGTGATGGCACTGATAAATTTCAGTGAAGGAAAGAAATCAGAAATTGAAAACCCAGTGCTTAGCTTTATCACTTGCTCTACAACCTGTAAGATACGCTCTATGTTCCGTGTCTTCTTCCCAAAAGCCGCTCTTGCAACTATAGAATTCGTGAGTGAAAAGATTTTTGGACTGAGATTCATGACAGAACCTTCATGTTCAGAGATGTTCCTCACAAGTGCTGAAACCTCTTCTTCTCTTATCCTTCTGAATGATTGAACTCTCTTTGCTGAGAAAAGCTCTAAAGTACAGATCTTTCGAAGTTGCCTCCAATAGTTTCCATACGGGGAAAAGGCGATGTCTGTGCTATTGTAACAGAAGACCTCAGAAGCAAGAAATCTGGGTCTGTTTGCAAAGATCTGATCATGTGTTTTCATGATTTCTTTGGCGTATTCTGGTGAAGACACTATGATATGAGAAAGCTGACCAAGTTGAAGGTGCATGAATGGTCCGTACTTGTCGGCAAGATTTGCGAGAGAACGGTGAGGTAGAGAGCCACCAACAAGTTGGTGTAGGTTTCCTATGAGAGGTAATTTCCATGGCCCTGGAGGAAGGGTTTTGATGGGTTTCTTGGAAAAGTAGAGTTTGTGGATCACGAGGTAGAAGAAGAAGAAGGTGATGAAGATGATGGAATATGGGATCTGTATCTCCATGTTGAAAGAATTATAATTAAAAAGTAAGGTTCAGTTTGTGTATCGAACTAATGCTTTTATAGCACGACACACTGTTTCCATCTAACAGTTTAAGAAGATGCATTGAGGTGAGTGATACATCTCAACCCAAAATTTTAAAAATATTTAATTTATGATTTTTTTTATTTCTATTTGATGTGAACTCAATACAACTCAACTCTATTTGAAGTGAACTTTTTTTATTTTTTTTTCATGTAAAAGTCAATTCACACTTATCATCCCAATACATTTTGTCTAATTTTATAACTCAACTTGAGGTGGGAATTATAATTTATAGCACGATCTCGACAATGTATTTTTGTGTGTTGATCGATCTCTCGTTGCTTAACTATGAAGTGTCATCTTGTATTTGTTTTTAATAAAAATAATGCAGTCGTTTGTGACAATAAAGTAAAATAATATAGATAATAATAAAGTAAAATGGAAGCCATCTTTACCTTGGACACTAAACTCTTTATATAGTTTATTGCCTTCTCTATCTGATCAGGCAGTGGAATCATCATTTGCTGGGCTGCACAATGATTAATTTAATCAGACCAATTAAGTTTGTATAATTTCGAGAAAATAACAAATAATAATAAAAGTCCTGATTTGAATCCGTCCATGCATGAGCGAAAGAGAAATTAAGACCTTATAGTTTTCATTTGATCTGTCATTTCCTCAATTGTCAAATTTTAGTTATACCTCGCTATTCCTCATTTTTCCTTATATATTATTAATAAAAGAAGAATCTTCTCAACGAAACCTGATTTTAGTGAAAGAAACCAATTTCTTATAATATAATGAATCAATATTTAATTTAAATATCTATTTAATGCATACATTTAATATCCGACTTTGCCTTGAATAGAATGGTTTCTGATAAAATGATACTTATAAGTAATAAATATACTTATAAAATTAGAATAAAGAATGGGATATACTTAAATTAAACAACTAAAAATACATTACAAATTACAAAATCCATACATAGAATTGATAGAATGATATTATACCAATATACGAACAAAATAAAAAAAAACCAAAAGTTAATTAGTCTTTCGTCGGGTTTAACGGCTTCGTGCTTGGTTATTAATGTTATTATAGTATGAGATATATGCATGTGGGATTGCAGCCACTGGGTTGTTCTGTTCAACGTACTGCAGCTGAACGGAAGCAATTAAATATTCAGATCGGAGTGCCCAGCAGAATCCAAGGAAGATGATAGAATATGAGACTTGTATCTCCATATATTGATAGAATGGTAATTAAAAAGTGGCAAAAAGTGTACATGTAAACTTTTAAATGTTAACATATTAATTAAATTTCAATTTTCAAAATAATAATAATTGAAATAAAGAATTATTATTTAAAACCAACCGTATTAGATGAAAAGTAAAATAAAATAAGGATTTGGATTCAATGAGTGGCACGAAAACACTTATTTAATGAATGTCTTGTGTGGCACAATAAAAACAGTTTTATTTAATCAAACAATTGTTACAAATTTTGTCATGTGTATGATACTTAGAATCACCAAATCTCAAGTTTTTGAAAGGGATCGAATGTATATCAGATCCAGATTCTCTCCCTACAATCTCTCCATGCCTCTCTCCCTACGTAATATCATGCTGTCCACACACCACTTACTTGATCCAACGGGTCCTACTTTGCTGCATATATATGAGTATTAATAATTAAATGAAACGCGTGACGTTTTGCTGCATTGAAATGCCATATCTGTCAACGATAACACTTTCCCGGTGCCGCTTTCTATCGCAACCCGAGGCCACCATTCTGTGTCTTGGAGATAAACGTAGCTGTTCAACGTTGGAGAAGAGATAGATGTGGTCATTCCGTGTCGGAGAAGGAGATCAATGTTTCTTTAATTAATCACTGTTCTCAGTGCCTCTCGCCAACATCACAAGATTGAGTTTTAGGAGATGGATGCGACCGTTTCGTGTTGGAGAAGATGATGTAGTCCTACAATCGTTGGTCTCAGAACTGTTGGTGTCGGCATCGCTCATCTTCATCACAGACAAGAATGGAACACACAAGAAGTCAAACTTTTGCCTCAGCAAAGCAGGAACCGTTGGATAAAGTAAGTGGTTGTGTGGACGGCAAATATCGCGTAGGGAAGGTATGGAGAGAATTTAGAGAGAAGATCTGGATTCATCATATGTTGCATATAATGAATATTTTGATTGTGATGGTTGTTTTGAATTTTTAGGAGAAATGTACATTGATAATTTTCAAATGTTGATAAAATTCAATGATTGTAATTAAGATATTTGATGAGTAAATGAATTTAGGCCATTCACCTGATACAGATCTAATTATAAAATAAAATAGAGGGCGAACTGTATTTTTGGCTCATAAATATTTTCCAAAGAGCGACAAGCACTCTAGTACGTAAACAAAACTGTGAAGGAGTGCATATCACATAATCTTTCAAAACTAAAACAATAATGATTTTTTTCCAGTTAACTGTACAACATATTCCATCCATTTTGAAATACTTGTATTTATACATATTAATCCTAAAATAAAATAATTAAAGTTGATATGAGTGGCAAGAATTATCGTCAAGCAAGTGGTTAAAAGTTTAAATGGCAACTTAGATTAGAAGAGTCTGCCTTTGTGCTCAGTACTTTAGAGGAGATAATTTGTATTGCCAGTGGAACCTAACTACTCCCATATTGCTAATAGATATATATATATATATATATATAGTTAATGGTCATTGATACATTGTGTCCTAATGGATTTTATTTTGTTTTGAAATATTCATGCATGTTGAAAAATTCAAGTATGAGAGCTTTCACTCAGTCTTTGATTTATTATTTATTACTTAGCTTGCAGTTTCTAATTAGCTCGAATAATTTTGTTAACTATTATTACTTAATTGTAATTTGTAAGTTATAATTAAGCAAATAAAATTATATATATCTTTGGTCTGATTCATAAAATGTAATGTTGTAGTTACAATTAAAGTATTATATTGTTAATTAACGAGGTTCAGGTTTAGTAAAAAAGATTAGTACATTACAATGTGATAAATTTAAATTTAAATTTTTATCAAAAAAAGTATTCATATTTAATTTTTGATCGTGTTTAAAATAAGATTATATCAAATAAAAAAATATCTATAAGCAAAAAAATTATTATATTCTTAAGATTTCATGTCAATTAGCATATTTAGTCCTATATACAATGCAGGAAATTTTAGTTATTATTACAGTTGGCCCAGCGCAGAAAAAGGATGTGCTGACATAATGGAGTTAAAAATTGAAAACCACATAGCCATAAAAAAATTGAAAACTATATAATACCTTTAATTGAACGTGTCATTTTCAGCGCTTCAAAAACATGTCATTTTGTTTATATTAATAAAACAAAAGATAAGGTAAGAAGTAAGCATCAACTTTCGTGACGCCAGTAAAAGTCAAACCAAATATCAATTAAATTATAACCAAAATCAATAGTTGAGTTCAACTAATTATATTTAATTCAATTCGCTTAACTTCATATCATTTGTTTTTACCTGGTTCGTTTTAAATTATAATACACTTTTAGGAGTTTTTTTATCTCAAAATACAAGACACTTTGAGTAGATTAAAATTTTATTAAATGCAAATTACAATGTTATCATTTTTCTCTTTATAATTAATTTTTATTCCTTCTCTTTTTAATATATTAAATGATCGGTATTTTTAAAATTTTTTATTTTTATTTTGAAAAGATAATATTATTAAGTGTATTTAATGAAATTTATTGATATGTGAAATTTTATCTAGAAATATTTTATAATTTGGGATGAAGAAGTATTATCATTTATCGATAATCTCTTTTCAGATCAAGTCTTGAAATTGCTAGAATTAGATCTAGAAGATAATAAGGATACTATGAGAAATACTTGGATAGACCAGGCATACCATGTCATTTATAGTTTGTGTTCAATTAAAATGCTCCAAATAATTTAAATAAAATCTTGTGTAATATTTTTTTAATTGATTTTATTCTTGTAAAAGAATGCATATTTAATTTCTTACATTTTTCTCTCTACTATCGTTAATATCAGAATCAATTTATATTTAATATCATCTAAATGTTATGTTTTTATTGGACAGATCACAAATGACGTGGTGCATCTGGTCTATTTAAGAGTTTCTTCGATGGTATATTTTTCTCTCTCTCCCCATTTATATATGAATGGATCATTTCAAGAAATGAAAATTATGAAGAGTAAATGGTTGTAATTAGGAGAAATTTTTATATAGACTGAGTATGCCATATCATTTGTGGTCTGTCTAATAAAAATATGACATCCAGTCTCTAAGTCATTTAAATAAAATCTTACGTGACATTATTTTAATTAATTTTATTTTTATAATAGAATGCATAATTAATTTATTGCCTTTTCTCTTTTTATTATCATTGATATCAAAATCAATTTATATTTAATATCATTTAAATGTCATGTTTAATTTTTATTGAATAGATCACAAATGACGTGGCATACTCATCTATCTAAAAATTTCTCCTAATCAATAATTTGTATATAGGAAATATATGACACTTACTGTAACTGCAAATCTCACGCGTTATATATGTGTATATACGTCAGTGTGCAATTTATTTGGGTATGGTTAAATTTAGAGCTATAATTGGTTTATAAAATGAGTATTTTAAGCTCATCTGGTTAGATTTCAAACATTTTTTTCCCTACAGCAACCCTCTTCGTAACCACCAATAACAAGTCAGTCCAAATATCAATTAAATAAATTATACAACCAAAATCAATAACTATGTTCAATTAATTTTATTTAATCCAACTCGGTCAACTGCCCGGGTTTATATCATTTACACTACTATTATTAAGCTGGCCCTTTCCATATGTCTTGTTGTATTAAGTCATGAGATTGTCGGATTTTATATAAGAAAAGACTTACCTATTTAAACTTATACAAGTAAGGTGCTTTGTTTCCAATCAAATCAAGATATATAAATATTTTATAAATTATTTAGTTTATAATTAACAAA